CAAGACTCTGCCTTGCCCGTTTCTTCGTGGTGTCCATGGCTTCTTCCCCCATTCTCAGGCCCCTCGTTCCGGCGCCATTTGATCATCCATAGATTCCTCATGTCTCTAAGCTAATGCTATAGGCTCTTGCTAACTTTTTAATTGACTATCTCCTAGGGCTCAAATCATTAATTTTTCCTGTTAAGACATTGACTGACTGATTGGATGCTCTTTTTGACCATATTAAAGTGATTTGATATTTTTAAAACTATATCCGAGGCAATGCAAATATCTCTCTAATCATATCCAAGGCAATTTAGGTGTTTTCATTCATCTGCATTCATAAATTCACAATCACATCACGCATCCAGGTGTGACCACACCGTTCATTCATAACTTGCATACGTCTCACATTTCTCCTTTTTCCTAGGTTATGATCAGTTTGTTGAAAAGAAAAATCCCTAATTGAAATTTCTAACATAGTAGCTATAGTCAATCCTTGAAATATGAGCATCCAAAATTTGAACAAATCCTAAGTTTAAATATGCTGCCCTTTCTTCTCTATAAGTCTCAAAAACAGTTTCTGTCTGTCTGTATCAATAGCATTTATATACATTGACTAGCCATCAGCCATGGTGGCATCTCTCAAGGCTGTAAATTCCCGAGGAGGCAGGCTGTCCACCACCCCATCAGCCATTTTGTCTAGCCTGTCGTAGATGCTGGCACGGGGTGGCACCAAGCCGCTGGCTGAGGGCAGGCAGACTGAGGCCACTGCCACGGCTGACCTTGGCCTCAGCTCGACTAAGCTCTCTGGGCCGCTGAAGAATCTGCGGTTGTATTTTGGGCACAAACCTGATCCCCTATTTTCTCTTTTGTTGGTACCCTGTCTGACTTGGTGCCCTTCCTGAACATGTCCAAAGCAACCTCTAGAAGGCTCTGTGCATTTCTTCCTCCCTATGCCTTGCTTTCTGTGTAGGAATTGTTAGACCCCCGGAAAACTCAGGCCTCCAGTGTCCCAGCCCAGGACCTCAGTCACCCCAATCACCAGGCAGATTCAAGAGCTTGATGCATACTGCATGAGGCTTTATTATTGTTTAACGAGCTAACCCCATGTTAGCTCAGGTCATCCACCCACCTGCCATGGTGGATGGCTAGGAAAGACAGCTCGAACCAGCTGCCTACAGAGTTTTCTGTTCTCCATTACATTCCTAGATGTCTCCCGAGGGCCTGCGTGTATTCGAGGCTGCATTTATGTCTTCCCAAGCCCCTATGCAACTCGAAATGCTGCATCATGGCGGTGGCTTTTGCAAGCGGGAAGGATCCTTTTAAAACTAAAAGTTTTAAACTCTAAAATCTTCTGTATTTGCTGTCACTTTGTTTTAGCTCTCCTGGCTATTAAACTATATAAAGTAAATAAACAATCATATGACTAACAATTACCTGCCAGATTTCCCTAACTATATACATTTTTACTTTCAATGCTAACTTACTTCTCTCTACCATCTGGCTAATATTCCTGTTTCATATTTACAGTTACCTGCATTTTTCATTCCAGAGTTTAGCATATTACATTTTACTACATTTCAGTCTCACATCTTCTTTGTGCAATTTTCTCTTACTTTAAGGGTTAAAAAACCTGCTTTACCTATTTTCATCAGCTGCTGGCTGACATTTTCTAATTTGCCCATCTTCCATTACTTCAAGGGTTAAATAACCCGCTTTATCTTTCTTGTCAGCCACTGGCTGACATTTTTGTCGTATATATATTTTGTGTACATTTCTACTTTAAGGGTTAAATAACCCGATTTATCTTTTTTTTGTCAGCTGCTGGCTGACGTCTTCCTATTTTATATTACATATATCTGTTTCCTATTTCTACAATTATATACAGTTTTATTCCTGACTTAACGCTGTTCACTTACCACATTCGGCCACTTCTTTCTTCTTTTTCCTGCGCGTGCTTCTTCCCCAACCGGTTTGCCCTCGACGACTGTCTCTCCATCCTTACAGCTTATAAACACCTTTAGCAAAGTGGCAAGATACAAGATTAACTAAAAATATCTGTAGCCCTATCGTGACCCAGCATGTCTCAGCCTTAGTCCATGAGGTTTTACCTGAGTGGGGGTGCGTGGACCTGGAAGCTCCAAGCAACCCAACGGTGATAAAGACCAAACACAGGCATCTTGTCATCTTCAGAGAGCTCTCAGTTCCATGTTGTGGAACTAGAGTCATTTCTTTATTAGCCATCTTTTCTGGTGTCTCCTAACCATCCTTCTAATACTAGGAGACAACCATTTCTCTCTTTGTTCTCCTCTCTCCTCTGACCTCTCACCTCTTTGCTCCTAACCTGTCCTGACACTCACCTCTCTCTCCTCCACCCAGGTGAGGGCCTATTCAGATGCTTAGGCACACACACCTCTCTCTCCTCCGCCCAGGTGAGGGCCTATTCAGATGCTTAGGCACACAGAGATAGAAATAATAGGCATATTACCCTGAGGTCATGGTAAACAGTAGTAGCCTTATTGACATTAACAGTACAATAGTGGGCCGGAGCTTTCCAGTGCTCCATGTTTAGTGAGACCCAAGGCTGAATCTCAAAATATTCCATAGCGGAAATACTTTGGTCCCCCACAGTACTCAAGACTTTTCTCCTCTGCTACACATAGCATGTCCATGTCACTGGCAAGAAATCCAGCCATTGCAGTCAGTTCAGCTTCCAAATTGTCACCAATCTCAACTTCACAATGCTTTTTTGAGACTAGATCCTGTCATCCATTTCCCGTACATTTCCCTCAACATGGTAGCCCTTGCTTCCAACCCTTGCTGGGTTGGAAGGGGAAGGCTTATGCTCAGTTAGAAGTGCTGGGGTGCGTGACTAAATCAAATTATCAGCTGGCATTTACTAGGCCCACTATTTATATTTATAATTTTGTCACAATAACAAAGAGGATCCATGAAATATGTGAATACAATTGGTCCAAGCTGTTTCCTATACTCTCCTAACCTTCCCTCACAGTATTATCATAGTATATAGAGAGAAATGTTCTATTTGTTGAAATTCCTTTTTAAAATTTATATTTATTTATGGGTATGTCACGTGTGTGCAAGTGCTGCAGAGGCCAGAAGAAGGCATTAGATGCCCTGACCTGGAGTTAGAGGTGGTTGATAGCCACCTGATGTGGGTGTTAGGAGCCAAATTTTGGTCCTCTGGAAGAATAGAAGTGTTCTTGACTGTTGAACCATTTCTCCACCCACTCTCCTATGTTTACTTTTTTCTCTAAATTCTACTGTTTACCTTCTAAAGAGCCTTAGGAAATGTTGTTAGTGGACTAAGTATCAATAAAACCACATACCTCATATCTGGTTTATCTCCTATAATTTTAATAAGTCAACAATACCTTTTTTCCATTTTGAGCATTTATTATGTTTACACTCTACTTTGGGTTTTGTACACACCATCTCTCTTAATTGTAGTGATATCTCTATGAAACTGAATCTCTTATAGCTAGTAATGTAAACATGAGGAAACAGAGTCAGAGAATTAAAATCATTTTAAGTCTCAAAGCCAGTCATTAGCATATTATGCTTTAAACATGGGCAGACCACTCTAATTTAGTCAGCTCTTAACTGTGATCCTGTGCACCAACCCGTTATGCTCTTCATTTGTTTTATATAAGGAAGAAAAGAGCGGGAGGGGAGCCTGTAGGGGAGGAGAAGAAAAGGGGGAGGAAGAGAAGGAAAGGGGAACAATCAGCTTCTGGCATCCCTTCCGTACAATCTGGGGATCAGGTGGGATAGACCTAACTTCTTACAGCAGTCAGCTCTGAGTCATAGTGCATGAAATACCACTTTGGTCTGATGAGGTCATTTTGTCTTTGTCTTGCATTGCTCAGGAGAGGTATTCTTGCAGATTAAAGGACCACTGGAGGATATTTATAAAGTCTACTGCTACCATCATGATGAAGCACACAGTATACTGGAGTCCTATGAAAAGGAAGAGGAGTTGAGGCAGCATCTGGGCCACTGTATCCAGTCCTTAAAGTAAGCCTTCTCGAATGGCGACTCCATCACTCTGGTTGCTTAGCAGGAGCCATCTGAGGTGAACAGAGATGAAAGGTCACACACAGCCAGCTTTTCACAGGGCTTGATCAGACGGCTGCCTTGTGGAAAGCCAATGTGCTACAAGCCCTGACTGACTTTTGTTCCCTTCAAGAGGATGACTGAAAATAGCAAGTGAGACAAAGATTCAAGGCCTTGTAGAGTTGAGGGGAAATGCAATACTGTCAAACAGTAATGACAAAATAAATTAGGTATGAAAGGTAGGCTGCTGTTCATGCATTCTCAAGGGCCACTGGGCAGTGAGTTAATTCCATTAGTGGAATTCCTGAATAGTCCTTGCTGCCCTAATTCACTGTGGGGAGATTGTGAGGATGATTAAAGCCCATCGAAAGTTAGCTTCAGGACAATTAGATCCTCTGCCTTCCTCATCCATAATATGTGAGAAGGCGGTAGTGGTGCTACACAAGCTTGAATGAGAGTCTTTAAACTCTTGCTGCTCTCCAAGTAATTAGTAAGTACTGATTTTTATCTTTGTAAATCGGGGATTGTGAGCCTGTGTTTGATCTGACCTCTTCCATGAAGCTGGAGTCCTATTTAGAGCTAAACTCTTTCTCCTTTTCCTCATCTTGTCCAGTTCTCCTAAGGACTTTCATTCTTGAGGACTCTATGCTGTCAGATGGGCCACATCCAGTCAGGGTGAACAAGCTTCAGGGAGCACAAGTGTTTAGCAAGATGTGCCAATCTGAAACTCTAGCACACCTTTGTGTGTCCTAGTATGTGAGAGAAAGGGGGAGTCCTCCTTTGATTGGAGAAGTTTGTAGCAGCATTGGGGTGCAGTGGGGAGACTAAATGAGGCCACGGTGGAGGAAGACTTTCCAGGCTCCAATTAGAACTGAAAATTAGTTTAATTTGCTTCCATGGCTTCAAAAAAAAAAAAAAAAAAAAAAAAAGTGTTGATTAAATTTCAACTTTATTGCCCTCTACTGGCCAAAAATTGCAGGATTTTAACATTTTTCCATACCCTGAGTGGAAAAAAAGTGAACATTTATTGAAAGCACAGCTCAGCAGCTCTGGCTAAATTTTACTATTTCAGTGTATGCCAATGTTACCGTATCAGCTCAAAGAAAAATTAAAGTATAAAATTGTATTTGCCTAAATAAGTTCATATATGGAGAACACGTCCTCTGCATGAACAGGTCTGTTTATCCTCATCTCAGATAATGATATCCTTCGTACAAAACACCTTCTCACAACACATGTGTATCTTGGGTCACTTTCCTTCAGGTTCTAGAAATAATGGGGGGGGGTGTCACATAACATATGAAGAACTGGCTCCTTCGTTAACCTGCATATCGAACCCCAGGGCCCAAGGGACCTGGACAGGAAGCTGATCAGTTCAGGTTCATAGTCCTGACTGCTTCTCTAAGCTGCTCGGGTGAGAATAAACAGTGTGCTGTGCAATAAACTTTTGATTTGTAAGAGAACAGAGCCCACTATAGTATTCTCTATGCAGCACAGCTCAACAGCATTTCCTTTAGAAGCATTTAAAGGTAGAGGTAATTGTGGAATGCCAAACTTACTTTCAGACCTAATAACTTGTTTTGCCTTTTTAAGCTTCAAATATACTGACCCATGATGTGTCCAATTCTGTGTATTCAGGACCATTCTGACTTTTAGAAATAATCTCACCCGCCAAAAGGTGTTAAGGTGTAGAATGCACAAAATCCAAATGAAACAATATTGGCAGAGCTATTTCTTAGGGGAAAGAAAAATCAAAATAAAACAGTTTAAGCTGGAGATATTTTCCCCAAAGTTGCCTTTCCATGAAAATAAAGTTAAAGACGGATTGTGTAGGTCTGCCTGGAGGCTGAGTGCAACCGTATTATTGACATCACTATAACACTGACCTCAGCTGAGGCAAGCTTTAAATTCTGAGGAACAGGTTTTCAAACAGGTTTATAGGCCAAAGAGAGTCCCAAACACCCTCAGGGATTGGTTTCCCTTGCCAAGTAATCAGTCAAAGCTATTACTGTCACCCTGCCTTTTCCTACTGGCTAAATAAAGGCGCGGCTGCCATTTCTAATGAACATTAGCTGTGGCCTCCATTTTCAGCAGTGCAAGGGATACTGGAATGAGTTGATTTAAAGCAAAAATTCTGCATGAGAGGTGGCTTCATGCCTCAGAAGGTAAAGCAGATTTTAAAGTGACTTAGGTCATATTTTAACCAAATTTAAAATGTTTATTGAGGGCCTCATAAATATTTATTAAGAGCACTAGATAATGTTGAAACTATTTTAATATATAAGCATGGCTCTTGCCTCCGAGAAACATAAACTCTAGTCAGAGATAAAACTGTCTGGAAAACTTTGCCAGCAATGCAAAGTTCATTTATTTAACACACCAGAAGGCATCTCTGTAGGTTTTGTTCAAGACTAACCTCCAACAGGAAGGCAGGGGGACCGCCTCATTCTGTATGATATTCAATCTTAGGAACCTTCATGATTCTTTGAAGCCCATTTTCATGCAAAAGAGAAAATTATATTTGGATCCAGAAAATTAGCTTTGAAGTGTTAGGGCAGTATTTCTTGGTGTGTGAGTTCTCCAGTGCCTGATATACCAGGAGTGTGTATTAACAGTGAGTAACTTTTAAAAGGGTGTGGGAAAGATGTTTCCATGATTAGTAATCCTGGCTGCTCTTACAGAGGACCTGGTTGTACTTCTAACATCCGCATGGTTCTCACAGCTATCTGTATCTCCAGTTTCCGGAGACTCAGACACCCTCTTCTGACCTCTTTGGGTGCCTGACATTCATATTTACATGGTACACATACATACACTAGACAAAATACTCATAGATAAAATAAATATTTTTTAATTAAAATTCTCCAGAAATGCAGTATGCCCCTGCACCTACAGCCTAGAAACTGGATGTTTCAAGCTCTGTTTAAAATTCAGCAAGGACTTTAGCTGAGTGGGACAAGTGACCCCATAGGATTGCTTACAATGTTGTTGTATTACTACATCTTTGTTTACTGAGGAGCTCATTGTTTAGGCTCTTTGGAGTTACTTATGATTTCTGATTTATGTGAAGAAGTGAAAATCAGACACCTATTCAACACATGTAGGTATAATTAGAACAAAACTGTCTGCTGCCTCCTTTTTCAGTTTCTCCAGTTAGAAATATTACTAAAAAGCCTCTGCTGTAGGTCCATGGCCCCAACCTGTCTGTTTATTATGTAATAAAATAAGGACAAAAGGACATTTCTAATCATTTTTTGGTAACTGGACTCACATTTCTAGTCTCCTCATGTCTTAGTGCTATAAATGAACCTGTATTTATCTTTTTGCTAACCAAGGTCCCATCCTCAGGAGGAAAACCATTTACCTTTCAGTCATCTAGGTAGTCTAGTCACCTTGCTCCTGTGGCCTTCCCACTTGGGGAAGCAGCAAGAAACTCATGCCACGCCCTGTCTAAGGGGCTGCATTCTTAGTTACTCACCACCTGTGTCTTGAGTCTAAATGGAGGGTCCCAGGTAGAAACCAAAACCACCTCTGGAAATTTCTTCAGCTCCTTGCAGTATGGCATTGTTTGGAAACAGACTACAACCTTTAAGGAATAGCCACAGAAAAATTTTGATTCATGAGTCAAATTATAATGAGCCCAGCAGGAGAGGAAGTAATTATTTTACCTCATAAAAAGCTGAGTGGACACTGTTTAATTTCTTCCTAGACTGTCCTCAGCTAGAGTCACCTTCTGGAAAGCTTCAAAATCTATCATAAAAAGATTGTTTCTTCTTCAGTGATGAGAAAACTAGGTGATGTCATAATGCAGCATTTCCTCCTTACAGAGTATGACTTCCTCTATTAGAAAAATGTCAGGTTCCTTTGTAGAGAGTGGTATGTGACATTAAACATGTGCCTAGTATTATTATAATTTCAAGTTGTTTTGTTGAAGTAAATAAAAGAAAAAGAGAGCTCTATGTCTTTTCCAGGCCTTAAAAATAAAATGGTGTCTTTCAATTTCAGTGCATTTACATACTACCATTTGCCCAACACTTGTTTCAATGGGAAATAGTGGTTTTATTTTTGTTTTACTAACTTTATAATACATGATCTACAAAAAGAAATCCTAGAACAAATGAGATTTTCCACTAGAGGAAGATATAAGTGAATGGAAAAATGGCAGCATAAAGGAAATGTATACGAGTTCCAGGACCTCAGAGAGATAATTCCTTTCACTGTGGAATTTTAAAATATCATTTAATAATTTTCTAAAATTATAAGTGTAATTTTGTCTCTGATTCCCATTTGGAGGTTTTGGACTCAGCAGAACCCAGTTATTCCAAGATGTCCAGGGATCCATTTACACACACAGGTCTGGGGATTGAGGAGGCAGTTGCTTTACGCACATGTACTGTCTTCCACATGTATAGAGAACTTAGAACATTTTTAACTCATCCAGCTCAGCATAAGCATTTATTATTAAAGACACTTGATTACATGGGGCATGCATGAAACTCACCCACTACTTCATTTGATATAGTAAAATTTGAAAGTATTTGTAATGTTGCATATGTGTGAATTTTTATTGATTTACTTTCTCTCCTTCTTTTACAGGAATATATACATGCAAGAGTAAGTACTTCTTTTTAAAGATTTTTTTATTTTTAATTTTTAGTTTAATTTATTCTTTGTTGATTTCATACAACAGGGGTTGATCATATTCACCCTCTCCTCCAGAACCTCCCAGCTCCACTTCTCCTTTCTGCCCAACTTCCCGTCTTCTTCTTCACCACCCATCAAGTTTGTGCTGCCTGTATCCTCCTGGGTATGTGGCTTTCCACTGGCACATGGTTGACTTCACAGAGGCAACATTTTCAAAGAATACTGACTCTTCCTCTCCAATACCTATCACTTGCCAATATCTCCTTGGCTAGGGGTGGGACTACTGGTCTACCGCCCATCTCCATTCTGAGATTTAGTCTA